GCCTTCTGCGCATCAAGTACGTCCTGGAAGTGCTGACGCTCTGGGCCCTCACACAGGTCAGCCCACCATTCTAGCTGGACCTCAACTGTATCAACAGAAGTTAACGTGAGCTCTTTGAAGTCCACCTTGCAAAGCTTATCCACACCAATATGTGTGAGGTATATCGATGCAATGTGTGGGGTGTCATCAGGGTGAAGGACAATGACTTGTACAGGCACCGGCTCCGAACGTGAAGTGGGCGCAGAGGTTATAAGCGTAAACAAGCCAGCTGGCGGCGTATGTGCTGGAATGCTGCGCAGCACACGATCTGCAGAAGCCCCATCCACACAGTAGACCCCTGGAGCGCGCGTCCACAACAAGGACATCGGATCCCCTGCGGCCTGTTTGCGAAAAGCATCTTTCCTTCCATCAGGAGCCAGAGGCACAGGCGTGCTAGCAGGCTTGCATTGTTGCCAGTCCTGCGCCCTCAAACGCCATTGGGGCACAGGGGGAGCATGCGCCGGGAAGGGGCCGGACGATGACGTGGGCGCGGGGGCCGATGGGCCATCAGGTGACTGCTGTTGCCAACATAGTTTGGCTTTAAAAGCAGCACCGCACAGAATGTCAACCTGTTGTTTTTGATGCTTGGCACCTTCCAACCTCTGTTTGACCTGTGCATCTGCAACCAACATGCGGATCTGGGCAACAGGCGGATGCAGGTGGCGAGTCTTCAAGACCCCCAAAACCACATCGAGCCAAGCTTTGCTGCCTACGCTATGCGATGTGGCCTCCCCACCGCCTCCACACAAATCGCGACTGCGCTTTGGATCATGGTCGAGTTTGGGTTCATTGGCAACTGGTTTTGTGACCTCCATGCCTGCGCTAGGAGAGAGCATGCCAAGTGCATGCACACAAAGCAAAGTAACACAAGTGATTGCAACCATGCCTGGCAAAGTATCATATGCCCCGATACCGCCAAGCACCCCTATCATCACACTGAGATACAGCTGTGCGTGACACAAAGTCTGGCATAAAAGACCCGTCACATATCTTGCAACTCGGACACAGATCATCGCATCGAGCTTAGAACTGAGCTGCAACGCAGCCCAGTCAGCCATGCCACTTCGCGCAAAGTGCTCGATGCCGGACATGGCCTTCATGGCTTTCATCGCCTGCAATCGGAGTCTGTTCGGAGAGCGGAGCAAACTTCAACATCAACAGAGCACGCAAACACATGCAGGTATCTAGCTGCGGCCGGGGGGTTGCTTCAAGACTGCTTCGAGACTTAAGGTCTTTCATCTTGGGATAGCTGCGGTTCTCGGCGACTGCGTAGAAGGGACCCCACACATCTGCACAACGTGGCACTTAAAGGCCTTCATTGCTTTCATGGCCTTCATCGCTTTCATCGCCTGCTGCAGTCAAGCTAAGCCAGCAATGCACGAGTCAATGCAGGACCCCACCAGGCAGGGAAGGACACAACATCTGCAACGCTTCTGCGTGACTCTTTGCAACAACCCGGCAAGGAGTCCGTTCAGCATGGATGTTCCGTGCCCTGTGGGCCTTCATCGCGGGAGCTTCCTCGTCATCCGCCTTCTTCTTCATGGCCTCTAGCCACTGTAGCCAAGGCTTCGACAGATCGTAGATCTCAAAGATCGCTCTCTCACCACGAAACTGTGTAGCCAAACTTGCTATGCGCCCACCTCGAAAGCTCGAAAACCTCCTTCAACCCCATGCCCTCCTGATGCAAGCCAAACTTGATCGGAAATAAACCAGGGTCACGTGCCTTCATGGCTTTCATCGCCTTCATGGCCTGTCAGCAAGTCGAGGGGCACGTTTGAAGCGTGGCCGGACACGGCAGAGGCTTCTGCTACATGCGACGGTTTCCGCGCTTGAAGGCGGCAGCCAAAGTATGATGGTGTGAGGATGTGTGAGGCCTCTCTCAGTACTTGCGAAACCGTGTCACTAAGATCATCACACGAGCTTCACGCAATGGCGCTGGGAGAAAGCCGCTGGTGTTTTCCGGGTTTGGGGCTTTTGAAGTGGCACCCTTGTACAAAGTACATGGCCCCCACAACTCCGGCCTTCATGGCTTTCATAGCCTTCATGGCCTGCAAGCAACAACTTACGATGCCTCGGGGCCTAACAAAACTCATACCGCTGGCAGTAGGCGCTTTCGGGATTCAGGGTGCTGTAGACTGTAGACGAAGCCTGCCACTTGCACAGAAACAATGGCGGAGCGAAACAGTAGGCCGGTTGCCTTCATCGCCTTCATCGCCTTCATGGGAGCCATGGCGAGTGCAGGAAGCGTTCGGAAGCACAAGGGAGGCGTGAGAGAACTCGAAGGGCTGCGGCAGCCGACTCTGTGATGCTTTGGCACTTCAAGCGAACTAACTGTCCTGCCGCCTCGGGGAGAAGAATTCCCACAAAGCCCCAGAAAGAAAGAAACAAACCTTAAAATACACACGCTCCATTGCACGCACACACACACACAATCTCTCCACAGCACGACCCTCAAGCACGGCCTGCAGCCTCATCCATGCAACTGCAAGAAACTGCCGCGAGCATCCCACAATGCATCACAACACCTATGCATAAACTTGGGTGTGGCTTTTTCCTGTACAGAGGCCCTCCGGTGCGCTGGGAGCCAGGCCCTAGGGACCTGGCGAAACACCTTGAAACGCGTGGGGCAAAACTGCTCACTTCATCGCCTTCATCGCCTGGGGCGCGAGGGGTTCTACTGATGTGGAGTTTTTTCAGGACATGTTGGAGATGACCTGCTGCCTCGAAGCTTAAACGGGCACTTCGACATGAGCAGAGCAGCTGCAACGGGTCGAGAGATGCGGTGACTTTTGAAGGTGGCAGTGAACGACCACAGAAACAAATGAGAGTTTGTGCACCGTCTAACTTGCAGAAACCACTTGCCTTCATGGCCTTCATGGCTTTCATCGCCTGCAATCGGAGTCTGTTCGGAGAGCGGAGCAAACTTCAACATCAACAGAGCACGCAAACACATGCAGGTATCTAGCTGCGGCCGGGGGGTTGCTTCAAGACTGCTTCGAGATTTAGGGTCTTTCATCTTGGGATAGCTGCGGTTCTCGGCGACTACGTAGAAGGGAACCCACACATCTGCACAACGTGGCACTTAAAGGCCTTCATTGCTTTCATGGCCTTCATCGCTTTCATCGCCTGCTGCAGTCAAGCTAAGCCAGCAATGCACGAGTCAATGCAGGACCCCACCAGGCAGGGAAGGACACAACATCTGCAACGCTTCTGCGTGACTCTTTGCAACAACCCGGCAAGGAGTCCGTTCAGCATGGATGTTCCGTGCCCTGTGGGCCTTCATTGCCTTCATGCTCTTCATCGCGGGAGCTTCCTCGTCATCCGCCTTCTTCTTCATGGCCTCTAGCCACTGTAGCCAAGGCTTCGACAGATCGTAGATCTCAAAGATCGCTCTCTCACCACGAAACTGTGTAGCCAAACTTGCTATGCGCCCACCTCGAAAGCATGAAAACCTCCTTCAACACTCTGCCCTCCTGATGCAAGCCAAACTTGATGACGGAAATAAACCAGGGTCACGTGCCTTCATGGCTTTCATCGCCTTCATTGCCTGTCAGCATGTCGAGGGGCACGTTTGAAGCGTGGCCGGCCACGGCAGAGATCGGCAGAGGCTTCTGCTACATGCGACGGTTACCGCGCTTGAAGGCGGCAGCCAAAGTATGATGGTGTGAGGATGTGTGAGGCCTCTCTCAGTACTTGCGAAACCGTGTCACTAAGATCATCACACGAGCTTCACGCAATGGCGCTGGGAGAAAGCCGCTGGTGTTTTCCGGGTTTGGGGCTTTTGAAGTGGCACCCTTGTACAAAGTACATGGCCCCCACAACTCCGGCCTTCATGGCTTTCATAGCCTTCATGGCCTGCAAGCAACAACTTACGATGCCTCGGGGCCTAACAAAACTCATACCGCTGGCAGTAGGCGCTTTCGGGATTCAGGGTGCTGTAGACTGTAGACGAAGCCTGCCACTTGCACAGAAACAATGGCGGAGCGAAACAGTAGGCCGGTTGCCTTCATCGCCTTCATCGCCTTCATGGGAGCCATGGCGAGTGCAGGAAGCGTTCGGAAGCACAAGGGAGGCGTGAGAGAACTCGAAGGGCTGCGGCAGCCGACTCTGTGATGCTTTGGCACTTCAAGCGAACTGTCCTGCCGCCTCGGGGAGAAGAACTCCCACAAAGCCCCAGAAAGAAAGAAACAAGACTTGAAATATATATGTTCCATTGCACGCTCACACACACACACAATCTCTCCACAGCACGACCCTCAAGCACGGCCTGCAGCCTCATCCATGCAACTGCAAGAAACTGCCGCGAGCATCCCACAACGCATCACAACACCTCTGCGTAAACTTGGGTGTGGCTTTTCCTGTACAGAGGCCCTCCGGTGCGCTGGGAGCCCGGCCCTAGGGACCTGGCGAAACACCTTGAAACGCGTGGGCCAAAACTGCTCACTTCATCGCCTTCATCGCCTGGGGCGCGAGGGGTTCTACTGATGTGGGCTTTCTTTCAGGACATGTTGGAGATGACCTGTTGCCTGGAAGCTTACACAAAAATTCAACATGAGCGGAGCAGCTGCAACGGTTCAAGATGCGGTGACATTTTAAAGGTGGCAGTGAACGACCACAGAAACAAACGAGAGTTTGTGCACCTTCAGTCGTTGTTGCAGAGGTTCAGGCATGCACACAGCATTTAACTTGCAGAAACCACTTGCCTTCATGGCCTTCATGGCTTTCATCGCCTGCAATCGGAGTCTGTTCGGAGAGCGGAGCAAACTTCCGACATCAACCAAGCACGCAAACACATGCAGGTATCTTGCTGTGGCCGGGGGGTTGCTTCAAGACTGCTTCGAGATTTAGGGTCTTTCATCTTGGGATAGCTGCGGTTCTCGGCGACTACGTAGAAGGGAACCCACACATCTGCACAACGTGGCACTTAAAGGCCTTCATTGCTTTCATGGCCTTCATCGCTTTCATCGCCTGCTGCAGTCAAGTTCCCCAGGCGATGGCCCCAAGCAAGCCGGCAATGCACGAACCAATGCAGGACCCACCAAGGATGTGCCACCAGGCAGGGAAGGACACAACATCTCCAACGCTTCCGCGTGACTCTTTGCAACACCCCGGCAAGCAGTCCGTTCAGCATGGATGTTCCGTGCCCTGTGGGCCTTCATTGCCTTCATGCTCTTCATCGCGGGGGCTTCCTCGTCATCCGCCTTCTTCTTCATGGCCTCTAGCCAAGGCTTCGACAGATCGTAGATCTCAAAGATCGCTCTCTCACCACGAAACTGTGTAGCCAAACTTGCTATGCGCCCACCTCGAAAGCATGAAAACCTCCTTCAACACTATGCCCTCCTGATGCAAGCCAAACTTGATGACGGAAATAAAACAGGGTCGCGTGCCTTCATGGCTTTCATCGCCTTCATGGCCTGTCAGCAAGTCGAGGGGCACGTTTGAAGCGTGGCCGGCCACGGCAGAGGCTTCTGCTACATGCGACGGTTTCCGCGCTTGAAGGCGGCAGCCAAAGTATGATGGTGTGAGGATGTGTGAGGCCTCTCTCAGTACTTGCGAAACCGTGTCACTAAGATCATCACACGAGCTTCACGCAATGGCGCTGGGAGAAAGCCGCTGGTGTTTTCGGGGTTTGGGGCTTTTGAAGTGGCACCCTTGTACAAAGTACATGGCCCCCACAACTCCGGCCTTCATGGCTTTCATAGCCTTCATGGCCTGCAAGCAACAACTTACGATGCCTCGGGGCCTAACAAAACTCATACCGCTGGCAGTAGGCGCTTTCGGGATTCAGGGTGCTGTAGACTGTAGACGAAGCCGGCCACTTGCACAGAAACAATGGCGGAGCGAAACAGTAGGCCGGTTGCCTTCATCGCCTTCATCGCCTTCATGGGAGCCATGGCGAGTGCAGGAAGCGTTCGGAAGCACAAGGGAGGCGTGAGAGAACTCGAAGGGCTGCGGCAGCCGACTCTGTGATGCTTTGGCACTTCAAGCGAACTGTCCTGCAGCCTCGGGGAGAAGAATTCCCACAAAGCCCCAGAAAGAAAGAAACAAACTTTAAAATACACACGTTCCATTGCACGCACACACACACAATCTCTCCACAGCACGACCCTCAAGCACGGCCTGCAGCCTCATCCATGCAACTGCAAGAAACTGCCGCGAGCATCCCACAACGCATCACAACACCTCTGCGTAAACTTGGGTGTGGCTTTTCCTGTACAGAGGCCCTCCGGTGCGCTGGGAGCCAGGCCCTAGGGACCTGGCGAAACACCTTGAAACGCGTGGGCCAAAACTGCTCACTTCATCGCCTTCATCGCCTGGGGCGCGAGGGGTTCTACTGATGTGGGCTTTCTTCAGGACATGCTGGAGATGACCTTTTGCCTCGAAGCTTACACAAAAACTCAACATGAGCAGAGCAGCTGCAACGGTTCAAGATGCGGTGACATTTCAAAGGTGGCAGTGAACGACCACAGAGACAAATGAGAGTTTGTGCACCGTCTAACTTGCAGAAACCACTTGCCTTCATGGCCTTCATTGCTTTCATCGCCTGCAATCGGAGTCTGTTCGGAGAGCGGAGCAAACTTCAACATCAACACAGCACGCAAACACATGCAGGTATCTAGCTGCGGCCGGGGGGTTGCTTCAAGACTGCTTCGAGACTTAAGGTCTTTCATCTTGGGATAGCTGCGGTTCTCGGCGACTACGTAGAGGGGAACCCACACATCTGCACAACGTGGCACTTAAAGGCCTTCATTGCTTTCATGGCCTTCATCGCTTTCATCGCCTGCTGCAGTCAAGTTAAGCCAGCAATGCACGAGTCAATGCAGGACCCCACCAGGCAGGGAAGGACACAACATCTGCAACGCTTCCGCGTGACTCTTTGCAACACCCCGGCAAGCAGTCCGTTCAGCATGGATGTTCCGTGCCCTGTGGGCCTTCATTGCCTTCATGCTCTTCATCGCGGGGGCTTCCTCGTCGTCCGCCTTCTTCTTCATGGCCTGTAGCCAAGGCTTCGACAGATCGTAGATCTCAAATATCGCTCTCTCACCGCGAAGTTGTGTAGCCAAACTTGCTATGCGCCCACCTCGAAAGCTCGAAAACCTCCTTCAACCCCACGCCCTCCTGATGCAAGCCAAACTTGATGACGGAAATAAAACAGGGTCGCCTGCCTTCATGGCTTTCATCGCCTTCATGGCCTGTCAGCAAGTCGAGGGGCACGTTTGAAGCGTGGCCGGCCACGGCAGAGGCCACTATTATATCATCACACGAGCTTCACGCAATGGCGCTGGGAGAAAGCCGCTCGGTTTTCGGGGTTTGGGGCTGTTGAAGCGGCACCCTTGTAGAAATACATGCCCCCCACAATTCCGGCCTTCATGGCTTTCATAGCCTTCATGGCCTGCAAGCAACAACTTACGATGCCTCGGGGCCTCACAAAACTCATACCGCTGGCAGTAGGCGCTTTCGGGATTCAGGGTGCTGTAGACTGTAGACGAAGCCTGCCACTTGCACAGAAACAATGGCGGAGCGAAACAGTAGGCCGGTTGCCTTCATCGCCTTCATCGCCTTCATGGGAGCCATGGCGAGTGCAGGAAGCGTTCGGAAGCACAAGGGAGGCGTGAGAGAACTCGAAGGGCTGCGGCAGCCGACTCTGTGATGCTTTGGCACTTCAAGCGAACTGTCCTGCCGCCTCGGGGAGAAGAATTCCCACAAAGCCCCAGAAAGAAAGAAACAAACCTTAAAATACACACGCTCCATTGCACGCACACACACACACAATCTCTCCACAGCACGACCCTCAAGCACGGCCTGCAGCCTCATCCATGCAACTGCAAGAAACTGCCGCGAGCATCCCACAACGCATCACAACACCTCTGCGTAAACTTGGGTGTGGCTTTTCCTGTACAGAGGCCCTCCGGTGCGCTGGGAGCCCGGCCCTAGGGACCTGGCGGAACACCTTGAAACGCGTGGGCCAAAACTGCTCACTTCATCGCCTTCATCGCCTGGGGCGCGAGGGGTTCTACTGATGTGGGTTTTTCTTCAGGACATGTTGGAGATGACCTTTTGCCTCGAAGCTTACACAAAAATTCAACATGAGCAGAGCAGCTGCAACGGGTCGAGAGATGCGGTGACATTTTAAAGGTGGCAGTGAACGACCACAGAAACAAACGAGAGTTTGTGCACCTTCGGTCGTTGTTGCAGAAGTTCACAGCGTTTAACTTGCAGAAACCACTTGCCTTCATGGCCTTCATGGCTTTCATCGCCTGCAATCGGAGTCTGTTCGGAGAGCGGAGCAAACTTCAACATCAACACAGCACGCAAACACATGCAGGTATCTTGCTGCGGCGGGGGGGTTGCTTCAAGACTGCTTCGAGATTTAAGGTCTTTCATCTTGGGATAGCTGCGGTTCTCTGCGACTAAGTAGACGGGATGCCATACATCTGCACAACGTGGCACTGAAAGGCCTTCATTGCTTTCATGGCCTTCATCGCTTTCATCGCCTGCTGCAGTCAAGTTAAGCCAGCAATGCACGAGTCAATGCAGGACCCCACCAGGCAGGGAAGGACACAACATCTGCAACGCTTCTGCGTGACTCTTTGCAACAACCCGGCAAGGAGTCCGTTCAGCATGGATGTTCCGTGCCCTGTGGGCCTTCATTGCCTTCATGCTCTTCATCGCGGGAGCTTCCTCGTCATCCGCCTTCTTCTTCATGGCCTCTAGCCACTGTAGCCAAGGCTTCGACAGATCGTAGATCTCAAAGATCGCTCTCTCACCACGAAACTGTGTAGCCAAACTTGCTATGCGCCCACCTCGAAAGCATGAAAACCTCCTTCAACACTCTGCCCTCCTGATGCAAGCCAAACTTGATGACGGAAATAAACCAGGGTCACGTGCCTTCATGGCTTTCATCGCCTTCATGGCCTGTCAGCATGTCGAGGGGCACGTTTGAAGCGTGGCCGGCCACGGCAGAGATCGGCAGAGGCTTCTGCTACATGCGACGGTTTCCGCGCTTGAAGGCGGCAGCCAAAGTATGATGGTGTGAGGATGTGTGAGGCCTCTCTCAGTACTTGCGAAACCGTGTCACTAAGATCATCACACGAGCTTCACGCAATGGCGCTGGGAGAAAGCCGCTGGTGTTTTCCGGGTTTGGGGCTTTTGAAGTGGCACCCTTGTACAAAGTACATGGCCCCCACAACTCCGGCCTTCATGGCTTTCATAGCCTTCATGGCCTGCAAGCAACAACTTACGATGCCTCGGGGCCTAACAAAACTCATACCGCTGGCAGTAGGCGCTTTCGGGATTCAGGGTGCTGTAGACTGTAGACGAAGCCGGCCACTTGCACAGAAACAATGGCGGAGCGAAACAGTAGGCCGGTTGCCTTCATCGCCTTCATCGCCTTCATGGGAGCCATGGCGAGTGCAGGAAGCGTTCGGAAGCACAAGGGAGGCGTGAGAGAACTCGAAGGGCTGCGGCAGCCGACTCTGTGATGCTTTGGCACTTCAAGCGAACTGTCCTGCCGCCTCGGGGAGAAGAACTCCCACAAAGCCCCAGAAAGAAAGAAACAAGACTTGAAATATATATGTTCCATTGCACGCTCACACACACACACAATCTCTCCACAGCACGACCCTCAAGCACGGCCTGCAGCCTCATCCATGCAACTGCAAGAAACTGCCGCGAGCATCCCACAACGCATCACAACACCTATGCATAAACTTGGGTGTGGCTTTTTCCTGTACAGAGGCCCTCCGGTGCGCTGGGAGCCAGGCCCTAGGGACCTGGCGAAACACCTTGAAACGCGTGGGCCAAAACTGCTCACTTCATCGCCTTCATCGCCTGGGGCGCGAGGGGTTCTACTGATGTGGGCTTTCTTTCAGGACATGTTGGAGATGACCTGTTGCCTCGAAGCTTACAGAAAAATTCAACATGAGCAGAGCAGCTGCAACGGTTCAAGATGCGGTGACATTTTAAAGGTGGCAGTGAACGACCACAGAAACAAACGAGAGTTTGTGCACCTTCGGTCGTTGTTGCAGAAGTTCAGGCATGCACACAGCATTTAACTTGCAGAAACCACTTGCCTTCATGGCCTTCATGGCTTTCATCGCCTGCAATCGGAGTCTGTTCGGAGAGCGGAGCAAACTTCAACATCAACCAAGCACGCAAACACATGCAGGTATCTTGCTGCGGCCGGGGGGTTGCTTCAAGACTGCTTCGAGATTTAAGGTCTTTCATCTTGGGATAGCTGCGGTTCTCGGCGACTACGTAGAAGGGAACCCACACATCTGCACAACGTGGCACTTAAAGGCCTTCATTGCTTTCATGGCCTTCATCGCTTTCATCGCCTGCTGCAGTCAAGTTCCCCAGGCGATGGCCCCAAGCAAGCCAGCAATGCACGAACCAATGCAGGACCCAGCAA